TACAAAGCTTGTTTTTTATTTCTTGTCTGGAATGAGATATTTTAAGTGGAGATACTAGTAGGAATTACTGAAAATGGACCGTGTTTATTACTGCGTGTTTGGCTCTTTGTGAGGCATAAGTAACAGAGATCTCTTCCTGAGAATTCTCTTCTGAATGATAAGCAAATTCAAAGGGTAACCAAGAAAACCTCAGCCGTGACTGGAGCATATATTACTAGGTAGACATTTTTAGCAGACTTCTGGAATAAGAGATGAGTATTTCAGATTTTGCTCGTTTCTCTGAGCAGCTATGGGTATTATTTTCCTCTAATTTGTTAGTAATCAAGAGTTACACAATTCTTAAATCTCTTAATTTGCATCTTTTCTCTCCTGGCCAGTGAACTTTATCAGTGCAGTTACATTGAACGGTTTTACTCTTCAGCTGTTTTCAGTCAGCGAAGCTCAAGTATAATCTGTCTTCCGAGACTGTGCCCTTAATGGGAATGAAATTAAGAATTTCCATTTATCGGCAAGCAAAATACCTAAGTCCAGAGCTACATCAATAATTTTTTTTCTACTGCAACATTGAAATTACTAGGATGTTCAATACAGACTTGTATAACTTTTCGATATTTTTAATGGCAGACTTTCCATAACAGTAAACTGTTATAAGAAAAAGCACTAATTTTTCTTGGGTTGTTTAGAAAAGTCCTGATTTTAGTCATGCTAATCACAGTAGCTGAAACACATCAATAAGAAAACAAAGTAGATGTGAGTGGAGGTGCATGGAGAAAAAGGAGGCGATTGTTAGCCTGGGGTTTAATGGGTTAGCGTGCTGTTTAATATTTGCAGTTGGAATATAGCTAACCTTCCCTTCTTCCAATGTATTAGCGCTGGTGCCCATCTAATATTGTTGACAGTTGTTTCAGGGAATTGCCGAAGACTGAGAAAGGAGTTCAATTAGTGACCCTCTAGAGGAGAGGGACAAAACAGGTTTCTGTGCCCCCAGTATGTGTACCTACAGATGCAAGGAACCTTGTGCATTCTTTTAACTGCTAAAATGTCAGCAAGTATTACCTTTGCAATATGACTTATCTGTTGTGCTCAGCTTCTAATCTGTGGGTTTTTTGTTGTTTTTGTTTTGCAGGACCCGTCGGGGCACAGCCCCTACTCATGGTGCCCAGACGTCCTGGCTATGGCACCATGGGCAAACCCATTAAACTGCTGGCCAACTGCTTCCAAGTTGAAATCCCAAAGATTGATGTCTACCTCTATGAGGTGGATATCAAACCAGATAAGTGTCCTCGGAGGGTGAACAGGTAAGATGGTGAAATTTGTCTTCTAAGTTATATTGGCATTTTAAAGCAATACTTAAGTAAATGCAGCGTCTATGTAGCCTAAAATATCAGTGCGCACGGAGCAGGCGATGCTTATTGTAATGTACTACGGAGACCTTTTTGCAAATTCTCACAAAGACCTGTGTGAGCACAGTGAAGATCTGTGTGATCTGTACAGAGCCCATGTCCGCTCCAAGTGCTCTTCAGTTGGGCTGTGACCAGGTGCTATAAATGGGCCAGCCACTAATAGTGTCACACTGGCTTCCACTGTGGCAGTGCTGCAAGCAAACCAAGTTTCGTCTTGTGGTTAATAATTCTTTCACAGAATCAGCTTTGTATATTTGAAATCATCAGACTTGATTTGAACTCCACCAGCATCCTTTCTTTTATAAAATTATATGGGACCTCATCTTATTTTCAATTCTGCTATTTGTTAGGGTCAATTAAATCCCTTTATAGTCTACTTTATTTCTAGATTACTGGTTATATGGAGAGAATATTTTCATGTTCTGGGCCCTTGTTCATTTGGTGACCCAACAAATTGTAGGTATTGAGTGCTTGATTTTTCAGCCTTAGCATATTGCTAGCATAGCTTTTTGCATGTGATATTTGTGTGTTTTATCCTTAACATCATGAAGAAGCTTCTCTGGCTTCCAAAATTCAGGAAGAGTAGTTAGTTGAAAGTGTGACCTGAAAAAGTTACTGTAACTTATGAGGAAGACAGCATTTCACATTTCCTGTCTATCTTTTCTGAATTTGAATAATTTTATAGGAGTGAGACACTACTTGTATTCTTTTTGCATTTTAACAACAGCATTGCTAGTGGCTGGTTCTGGCTAGTGATTTTTTTTGACCACTAGTTGCATACTGCAGCTATGAAGGCTGTATAAATGCCTACATTAAGTATGATTTAAAAGGAAATTAATAAGTTGCCCACGTTGGGATATAATATTCCCATGTGAATCAATATTTAATTAACCATGAATGGTTAACTTCCTAGTGTGTTAAATGGAGAATGCTTGTGAAACTGTAATGATAGGGATCCAAGGAGAATGTAAACTACTTTAAACTGACTCATGGCTTTGTGTGACTGGTTCTTATTTAGTGTCCTTTTTCCATGAAGATAAATGCCATTTCATTAAAATCGGTTAATTAAAAATGCTTTTTCATCTGTTGCATGGATATGCTTTGGGGGAAATACTGGATTAAAATAGGCTAAGGGAAGCTTTAAGTTAAAGCTCCAACAGAGCTTCAGTCTAATAGACTTAGCTGTTCTGAAGTGGTTTCTGGCTAACCTCCTGCCTGAATACTTGGATTTGGAATAAATAGTTCTTTGTTTAGTGGAATTTATTTAAAGTTATTCCTAAATATCTGATGTTTTTCTTTAGTTCACCTGCCTCTTTATTAGCTTTTAGCTGTAGGGAGCCTTTAAAATGTAGAGTCTCTCTCCTGTTTCCCTTTCGCTTTCCTTTGTAGTGATGTTCTTTCCCTTTCTGTTGTATTGTAAAGTGGAAAGCGGAAGGTAAATAATGCTTTGCCTTGAAGCTTGCTGGACACATGAACTCAATAGCAGAGCTTCAGCTGAAAACTTGGTAGGACAGTTTTATGTTTTACAGAACTTCTTGACTTTTTTTTCCCCCCTCCTGCTTCATTCTTAGTCACTAGCTTATTCCCCTGCATTTGTCACAGGTTGTGACAATAGGTTGGCACGGACAGAAATAGTTTCTGTTGCACGTTTAGTAGCCGATGCCTAGCGGTATAAGGTAGCAGCGTACTAGTGTGGGAGGGAGTTTTGGACGAGATGGACTTGTGAAGGAGCGCAATTGAGTACTAACTAGAGATTTCAAAGTGGCTCAAGTATCTTGATGTTCTTTTAGGCAGTGAAAGAACTTGGGTCCTGAGAGCTTTGTGTCATGCTAAAGAACTGCAGAACAGAGTTTTGACAGTTTCTCAGAGGCCCAGCTGAGAGGGGAAAGTGACTGCTACTAATTCTGCTTGAAGAGGAAGTCGATATTTATTGTCTTGCTGAAGTACTTCAGGTTAATATTGTCTGGTCAGGAAATGGTTTATTAGTAAGCTTCTGCTTTGGAGAGAAGAATGCCAGTTGTGCATAGCTTAAGAAAATTTGTAGTTTCTATAGAATAAGAAAACTATGATGTAACAAGTAATAAACAGTTGTAGTGCCACTGAGAAGATGAGTATTGCTGCACAGAATCCAAAAACCTGAAGGGATGTTTCAGTCAGAGGTATTGAAAGTCTCCTTGGACCCTGATGTGTCTACTACATGTGTCTAGAAAACCTTTTATGAGATGAAAATACTGTGTGTTTTTTCCAAGTTCAATTTCAGTGCTTATGTCAAGTTACTATATTCTCTTTATTGTCACCAACTCAGTGAAGAAAGAAAAATCTATGATTGCATGCCGACTTGATCAGTTTTTAACTTGATCGTATTGTAAAAGCTTTAGATTTTCAAGGACTTAGTGTTAACTTTTTTTTGTTAAGATACCCCATTTTTCTAACCAAAGGCAGAATTCAAAACTCTTGTTAGTTGAAAAGCAGATCAACATTAGGTACCAAGTAAAATTAATTGTACTGCTTCCATGAACTAGTGTAGCTTTCAACTGTGAATTTGTACGAGTTTTTCATAGTACTAGCTTGTAGTTGATTTCCAAGGTAAGTGTGTATCCTTGCTCTGTATAATAAAGGGTATATAAAAGCCTCAGTCACTTCTGGGGCTTTCTGAAATTTTCAGTTAAAATATTTTCCAGTACTTGAACGTTTGCATTGATTACGATTTTATTCTTTAGTGTGTTTATCTGGTGGTTTAGTTGAAGTATGTGAAGCACCTTTTTGGAATATCAGCGGGTGTTCTGTAATTCACTTCAGTAATATGTAATATGTTTGTTGAAACTACTTCAGGAAAACATAGGGTATGTGGGAGCCAATTCCAGTATGATACTTGTTTGAAAACATCTTCAATCTAAATATCAACTTTTCTAGGGAGGTGGTGGATTCAATGGTGCAGCATTTTAAAGTGACAATATTTGGGGACCGTAGACCAGTTTATGATGGGAAAAGAAGCCTTTATACAGCCAATCCACTTCCTGTGGCCACTACTGGGGTAAGAGAATTGGAAAAAAAAAAAAAGGTATTTGTGACAACTTCTTAGAAAGAAGTAGAGACAAGCCTAATGTCTAATATTGCTGAATTCAGAAAAAACAAAAATATCTTAAGGTATCTGTACTGAAATAAAGTCTTCCTAATGTATTTTTTGTATGTATGTATATGAGCATGTAATAGTTGCGTTTTGAACCTCCACTGGAAGTACTTGGTAGACTCTTTCCACAGTAAGATCTATTAAATACTCAATTTTACAGATTGTAATACATTATCTTACTTTGAAATACTATTAAGAAATTAAACTACAGTTTCTCAAAATTTTTTTGTATGTATGATCAAGAATTCTGTGTATTAGCACCTGAGCATACAGAATTTATTCTATGTCAAGGGTATGTGGTCCATATTTTTAGTAATAACAGCACATAAGCAGTCAGACTTAAGAGCCAGGCTACGAGTTTTGTCCAGAAGTTATCAGTAATTTATTTGTATAGGTATCTAAGAGATTAGTAGTGAGTTTTGAGGTACTGGGGCATGTTACTTCCAATTTCCTGCACTTACTCTTTTAAGTTAAAGTCAAATTTCCTTGAAACCATATTTTCAAAGTACTATTTTGACAAAGTTTTTTTAAATAGGCCTTTTTCTGTAAATGGTAAAGACTTCTGGAGTGGAGGGGCTTAAGTAGTTTAAGCATGCTTGTAGCTTCAAAAGAGGCTTCAAAAAATGTAGTGACTTGAAAACACATTTTGTCCCCTCCTTCTCTCTTGTTCAGGGCAGGAAAATTGTGTTGTATTGTCATGAATAGCAGTGCTGACAAAGTGAACCATGAAAATACTGTTCGGAAAGCAGGTATCTTGATCTCTGCTGTTGGGCTGAACCTAAGAGCTGATGTCGTTTTCACACTATACAGGCTTCTCCTTTTCCAGCTTTCCAGTTCAATAAATGCAAAAAATGGTTGTTCTCCGATACCCCTCTGATTTCAGGTGTTAGACAGGTGGGACAAAGATAGGGCAGCAGACTCAAAGACTAAATGGCCATTTTCTTTTTCTCTCTTCCCACCCCCAATAGGTGGATTTGGATGTGACTTTACCAGGAGAAGGAGGAAAAGATCGTCCCTTCAAAGTGTCCATAAAATTTGTTTCTCGGGTGAGCTGGCACTTGCTGCATGAAGTTTTGACAGGAAGAACCTTGCCTGAGCCTCTGGAACTAGACAAACCAATCAGCACTAACCCCGTTCATGCTGTCGATGTGGTGCTACGACACCTACCCTCCATGAAGTAGGTTCACTGTCTTCCTGCAGTCTGTCTTTACCTGAAGTATCCCCATTGGGAGACCTTCATTCCTATTTCTTCACACGTGAAAATAAAATAAATGGAGCATTACCCTTTTACAGCACATCTAATTAGCTGAACTGGGGAGATTGAAGCTAATTACATAGACGTGTGTATTTTTGCAGGCTTTTGAATTCCAGAGCAGGTGGTTTTTTTGTTTTGTTTTGGTTTTTTGGTTTTTTGTTTTGAAAAGCTCAAGAGACAGGAGGCACTTACAGTATGTCTTAATTGAAATAACTGAAGGGTTGCAGGATGCTCTAGCACTGCTCTGGTGTTTTCTGCTTAAGTTGAGCCAAATATCATGCGTTTGGTGACCCTACCTAAAAGCATTATCTTTTTAATTCATTGATAGACCTGAAACACAGAAGATCAAGCTAATTGTGCTTAATTTGCTCAATGCGAATTACTCTTAGTTTGATTACTGGCTTGATACATTCAGATAGATTTGTACCAGTTTCTCATTGAGTGTAACTGACTCTCAAAAAAAGACTTATGATTCTGTGGTAGCCAGAGTTCCCCAGCTACTCCAGATCTCAAAGAAACATGAAAGATAACCTCTGTACTGATGTCTGTCCATTCTAAATGTAAGTAAGCATGGAGGCTGGTGAACAGCTGTTTCCTAGCTTGGAGAGAGATTAATTAGTTTCTCTAGTTCTTTGTTTCCACCACAATAAATACACTGTAGACTGTTAGAGAAAAGTAATCAGATGTCCCCTAGTAAAACAAGCAAAATGATATTTGAGGGTCAGTCCAGTAATAATCAACATTTGTACAGAATCTGTGCTGTGACAGAGATTATACTTTATTGAAGTGAAAGATCAGAAAAGGTAAGTTTATCTCTTAATTTGTCAAAACTGAAAGTGATTTTTGAGTTACAAAAATTAGTAAATGTTTTATCTAAATTTAAAAACACTGCAGTGGGAACACCAGCATTCAGAATGGGTTGTTTAAGCTTCTAGATGCACAGATTTCTGATGCACGAAATCACAAAAAAGAATAATGCTCTGTGTTTGATCCTTATTACAGAATTTTATGTTTGGAAAGCAAGAGCATAAATGTGGTCACCTTTTTTAATAGGTATACCCCGGTGGGCCGCTCCTTTTTCTCAGCTCCAGAAGGCTATGATCACCCCTTGGGAGGTGGTAGGGAGGTTTGGTTTGGATTCCATCAGTCTGTTCGGCCTGCCATGTGGAAAATGATGCTCAATATTGATGGTGAGTTGGAATTTAGGGCTAAGAAGGAAGATAACAGACGTGCCTCTGAGAATAAAAATGACTTTACCGTTCAGTCAGTTTATTGTCATGTGCTTGAGTTTGTGACACGTTTCGATGTGGTATTAACTTGTGTTGCCTTTTGAACAGAGGGATTTAATTACTGGAAGCCATCCCCTACACTGATTTCTCAATTTATATTGTCAAGATAGAGTTATGATTTGAGGTATTGCGGTATAAATTCTAACAGAATAAGAAAACTTCCAAACTTTAGTTGTTGTTTGTGTAAGAGATTTGCAAAAGACTTATTTTTCACCAGAAGAATACTTGAATCTCATTGCTCAGTTTGAAGATATAGTATATCCTTATAAAGCACAACATTAACTGTAAAGTCAACCTTCTGTGTCAGCTGTAATGACAAAAGGAGAGTGAGACTGTAATAATGAAGTATGCATACTTCGGCTTCCTGTTCAGCCAGGTCAGACCATACCTCTGTGGCAAAGGTGACCTAGACATCCTAAGTTTTTTTTGTTTGGATTCGTCATCAAGTCAGTGATGGGCAGAAGTACAGCTGCCTTATTAAAACAAACAACCTCCCACTATATATGAAGGAAAAGCATAGCATAGCATAATTACCTACCTTATTTCTGTATTGGTACATCCACAGTAGTGTCGATAAACTGCTTAAGAGATTTCTCTGTACAGCTGTTGGTTACTGAAATAGCTCCACAATAGATGTTGCTTGTTACTTTCATGTAAACTCTGTAAAATATATCACAAATATTTGTATAAATAGAGTTAACTGAGACTGACTTTCCCATGCAAAGTCAGACCTGCTTTGTAGCACCTATTGAAGTCCCAGATGAATGCATTTGGGATTAGCTAGTGCATGTGTCGGGCTCCGTGTTAGTAGGAAGTTCTGTAAGTGCTCACCTGAGCCTATTTAGTAGTTAAAACCCATATTGAAAAATGTCAGCGTTTCAAAGAGATACGAGTGAGATTCTCTAATTTGCATTCTGTACTTGCTGTGTATTTGAAATGCTTTATAAATCCAGCTGAAATAGCCTGCCTTTTTCACTATGCTAAGCGCTCTTTGAGTCAGGTTGTGTGTAGGGTCTGCCTTAAAGTATAATAGAAGTGCCGCAGATAATACTGCGTTTTCACAGTGAAAATGTGCAAGTTTGGTGTTCTGGTAGGTTGAAATCCTGGATAGTGATACCCATTTGATTTCAAATGGGTTTGTTCTTTGTAAAATTACCTTTCAAACAGAAACTGTGATGTAGTCACTGTTTGAAAAATGAATGTAAAAAAATCTTACTTGTCAAGGAATTAACTAATATTGCTATCAGTATGCTAGATAATGATAACTGCTCTTCGAGTAAGGTAGGAGTGTTAATTTACAGTCATTTATGAGGTATTGCACTATTACTTTCTGTAATGCAAGTTTTTCTTATTGGTTTTAAGAACATAGTTGTTGTTCTTGTAGTAGAAATTTTTCATTCCTTTGAGTGGATGAGAAACTTGAGAATTTTTTTGTCTTTAAACTGCGGTTCATAGGATGATCAGTTTTTTTATTTTGGCTTGAGGCTGTAAAGATTACATTCAGATCACATAATTTGATTTTGTTTTGATTGCTTAACACATGCAAGGTTCTCTGCAAAATCTGTTTCCCTCTGTATCGTTTTTGTTGCCCTGGGAGACAAACCGCACATTGCCAGTCATTGGAGGTGTAAGCTATTTGTGTTCATTCAGTAGTCGACATCCGGAGGTGTTGGCCAGAGTGCGTCATGTGAAGTTGGCAGCCTGCTAGAGTGACGCGTATCTGAGGAATGTTTTCTTGCATTAGTATAGGGATGTGGTGATTTTTGGTATGTGAGATCTGGAAAACTCATAAAATGCTTGTCAACTATTTCATAATCGTTTTTGTTGCTATTTAAAGTTTTAAGTGTATGGAGTAGTTTGCTTACACTAGAGCTATGGCTGGCCTCACCTCACGTTTCTTGCTAAAAGTGTTGTTTCAGTTGATTACAACTTTGGTCCAAGCAGACTGTTTAGGGCCTTAATTCCATGGGATGAATCAACTGTCCTGTTTAGAAACAGTATATTGTCACTTCATATGATTGTATCAGTAATATGCAGGAAGGGCAAAAGATGTTTTGGTAGTTGAAGGTTTGCGCTAAACACCACGCTCTAACATAGTCTGTGTGTAACTGAAATAGCGCTCATGTGTCTAGCCAAATATTGTTTCAGTAATCGTATCATTGACTGACAGTAGTGTTGCATATTTAATATCCTTACCTTTTCATATTTAAAAACAATTCAATAAAGGTATATTTCTTAATACAGTCTTTGCTTGTAGCTCAAACTGAGTTGAAAGGGTATGTCTGTTTAGGACATTACAGCTCTCTAGAAAAAGTGCTCTTTGTGGAAGCACCCTTTCAAAACCCTGAAATGCAAAGTAGTTGCAGGATGACTGTGCTAGAGACTGATGTGTGTACACATCACTGTGGGCCTTATGCTGGCTTTTGTACACTTGGTTGTTGCAAAAATCTGTTTTGAAAAATTAAGTGCTGCAGAACATTTGCTTGGGGGCTACTTTGAATTTTAAAAACCATGCATTTACCTGCTGCTTCACCGCATTGATTTGGATTATTTTAATGTTTTTCTCTGTAGTTTCTGCAACTGCCTTCTACAAAGCACAACCTGTAATTCAATTTATGTGTGAAGTTCTTGACATTCATAATATTGATGAACAACCAAGACCTCTGACTGATTCTCATCGGGTAAAATTCACCAAAGAGATAAAGGGTGAGTAAAATGTATCTGTTTTGTCCCAAGCAATGCATTCAAGCTGGTTCTAAGGGATATGTCTTAATTGGAAACCTCCCAGTTAGCGTGCATTAAAAGGGCCATAGAACTGCCAGGAGAATTGCAGTATATGCTGTTTGTAGTTAGAGGCTTGAATGAAACAACGTGGCGCTACAGAAACTAAAAATGAAAAATGAGGTATGTTCCCTTTGGCTTAAAGAGGAAGAGAGCATGCGTGTTGTTTATTGCCCGGTTAGAGGTAAGCAGCTGTTGCCTTGCTGGATGGCTAACTTCTTATAAGGCCATGTCACTGAAGCAGTAGTGGTACTGTGGTGTAGGTCTCCTGCTGTTTAAATACTGAGACAAAATGAGCATTGGTTTCAAAGCTAGCATCATTGATTCTTTGAAAGTATGCTATTGCAGTGACTTCCAATAACTGATTGCCTTGTGGAAAAACAAGTACTACTTGCTGACTTGCAGCTGCAGGCCAAATTCCATTCCAAAGAAATTGCATAAGCTGCTGATTTGAGTGGTTTCACTCCATATATGCTATTTTGCTTTGTGTTTTCCCACATCCTTTCATTCCAGTGTAATTTACAGAGAAAGAAGCCTTGAAAGAGAACTCTCAACTTTGTTCTGAAACGGTTGTGTTACTTGGTGCAAGATTAGAGTCTATTCAACTTGTCTTGTGGCCAAGAAGGCCAATGGCATCCTGGGCTGCATTAGGCAGAGCGTTGCCAGCAGGTCGAGGGAGGTGATCCTGCCCCTCTCCTCAGCCCTGGGGAGGCCACATCTGGAGTGCTGTGTCCAGTTCTGGGCTCCACAAGAGCCCAGAAGAGAGACATGGCACTACTGGAGAGAGTCCAGTGGAGGACTACAAAGATGATGAGGGGGCTGCAGCATTTCTCCTATGAGGAAAGGCTGAGAGAGCTGGGCCTGTTCAGCCTGGAGAAGAGAAGACTGAGAGAGGATCTCATCAATGTATACAAATATCTAAAGGGGAGGTGCCAAGAGGATGGGGCCAGACGCTTCTTAGTGGTTCCCAGTGACAGGACAAGAGGCAACAGGCACAAACTGAAGCACAGGAAGTTCCATCTGAAGATGAGGAAAAACTTCTTGACTGTGAGGGTGACAGAGCACTGGCACAGGTTGCCCAGAGAGGTAGTGGAGTCTCCTTCCCTGGAGATAGTCAAAACCCACCTGGACGCAATCTTGTGCAATGTGCTCTAGAGGACCCTGCTTGAGCAGGGGAGGTTGGACTAGATGATCTCCAGAGATTCTTTCCAACCTCAACCGTTCTGTGATTCTGTGAACTATTACCAGCAAAAAATAAATCTAAACTGTACTCAAAAATTGTGTATTCATGGAATAGTCATTAAAAAAACCTTTAATGAATTCCTTTGTCATAGTCCTTGCATGCCTCCTTTTTACCTTTATCTGTTTGACTTTATTCTGGAAGACAGATAAGTGGAAAGTGAAAAGCTGTCTCTTCTTGATCTCAGATGCCTCAGATACTTTGTGTTACCATAGTTAGAAAATACTGAAAGGTTACCTTTGCTATCAGTATTTATTCATATTGTTGTGATATGCAGCTGTTCCAGCCAGGATATGGTGATCATGTATAGTGGAACAAATCCTGCATTAAAGAATTTCCAGTCTCTGGGAGCAGCTCTGTGGGAGGGAAGTGCCTTCTGTAGTGTCACAGCAGATTAATGACAAATGGATTCCAGATATCTGTGTATCGAGTACCCTTTTCTGTTTGTCCACAGTGTTTCATGGTTCGTTTTGGGTGTTTTATCTGAATGCTATTACAGGCCAGTGGTAGTTTATTTTTGATTATGCCATCCTCTGAGTAATGTTAATGATGGAATCAATGAAATAACAGTTAAAGCTTCTTTGGGAGGCCTATGCCCCTAGTAAATTAATCGTGGTCCATCTGCTGTCTGGTACCCAAGGACCTGACTTGATGTGGGGTATTCAGTCTGTGGTCTACAATCCAAATGAGCCTCAACAGGCCGAGTCGTCCAGTTGCTTTCCCAAAAGCTTTTAGTGGTGGACTGTAGGTTGAATTATTGGGGTAGCAATGCTCTGCTTTCAACTGCTTTTTCTTTTCATGGGACTAGCAAAAGGCATACTGATGTGCCCACGCTTTGCAGCACTTGTGTTGTAAGCTCAGTACTTCTGGCAGATGTTGAATCTACTCTGCATGTACAGTACAGATAATCAGTGCATGCACAATTAATAGAAAAAGCCACTGAACAGTTACTGGAGCTGCCATTACGACCGTCATTATTACGGTGGATACACAGTAATGTCTGTGGCATGTAGCCTGACAGGGTGGGCTGGGTGCTTTTGGACTAGATCTTCAGCTGCTCAGAACATAAAGAAATTAAACTTGGTCAGTGAAAGTAAAGAAAATAAAGGCTGAATGTGCCTCTAATACTAAGGGGGGGGGGGAAAGGAAAATAAGGTAGAAATCTACTTTTGTCCTTTCAATATTAATGGCACTGGAGCTGCTCGATGTAAGAGGAATACAGCATTGTGAATGAGAACAAAAGACTATGTTGAAAGCAGCCCTCAGTGTATCTGGGATTAGTGGCATGCCTGTTAAATGAAACTGCTATGAGAAATTTAGATGGCATTGAACTTTAAAATATTCTATATTAGGATTTAGTTTTGAAGAAAATACCTGATCAGTCAGAAATCAAATTATAATGAAAGCAAAATGTTTAGAGAATAGTAATTTCTAGTACTGTGCTGTTTGAGCTGTGATCCTCAAAGCTGCTTGATTAGAACATATTCTAAGCAACCTGTGTCTCCTGTGCAGAAGTCTGTGTAGCTATGACATCAGGTTTTTTTGGTGCTTTCATGCAGGTCTAAAGGTAGAAGTGACTCATTGTGGAACAATGAGACGGAAATACCGTGTTTGTAACGTAACAAGAAGGCCTGCAAGTCATCAAACGTAAGATGCTATTTGTCAGCGCATAAAGTGTGCAATAGCTTAGCACTGAATGTGTAGCAGAACCTAATATTCTACTCATTTTGAGAATGTTGATGCTTGCCAACTAAGCTTTCAGTACGTGTGATTAAAACATATGTCTTTTCAGCTTCCCTTTACAGTTAGAAAACGGCCAGACTGTGGAGAGAACAGTAGCACAGTATTTCAGAGAGAAATACAACCTCCAGCTGAAATATCCTCATCTTCCTTGCCTACAAGTGGGACAAGAACAGAAACACACCTACCTGCCTTTAGAAGTAATGAGCTTATTCTGATAAATCATCATGTTATTGGTAGGCTGTATCTTTTTGCAGAATGCTAACAAGTAGTACACCTTGCAATACAAGTGGTTTTGAACGTTTACATGTTCTTTGCTTGTTTGTTAATTGTTATATCTCACTAAAGATAGTCTATCTGCATTTAAAACATGCTTTAAAGTGTAGTACTTGGTGGGGGGGAAGCATACCGTTGCTTAAACCCACTGGAGGTGTTTTTTGTAGTGATAGCACAATATTGTATATGTACAGTCTATTTGGATCTGTTTCTAAATACTTCTATTGTGTATGACATTTCTAATTTTCCTTTAAAGGTATGTAACATTGTAGCTGGCCAACGATGTATCAAGAAGCTAACAGACAATCAGACATCAACTATGATAAAGGCAACAGCAAGATCTGCTCCAGATAGGCAAGAGGAAATAAGCAGATTGGTTAGTTCTTTAATTTCAGACTGAATATGGTAATCGTCACTAAATGATGCTGGACTAGACAAGATTCATGTCTTGACCCCAGCCTGACAGTGCTTTTACTGGACCTTGGCTACTGCTTTATTTGCAAGAAATACCTCAAGTTGCTCTGCTCAAGCCTCCTGTGGGCTTCCTTAATTAATATCCTCCAATCGGACGTTCAGGCTAACCTTTTTGTTGTAGAAACTTTATATATGATCAACAGCATCTTTTCATTCCTTCCTTCTAATCCTTGACTTAATAGATTTTTAACTACTTTCTTTTTGGATGGGATTTATTTAAAAGTAGTAGTAGTAGTGCAAGTCCAGCATTTAGGAATAGATTTGTGCGTTCGATCTTTGCAATGACTTCCAAGTAGTTTATGAAATTACTCAGAACTAATAGTTGAGTGTTCTGTAATACCCAGAAAACATGAATGTGCAATATTCTTTCTACAGTAATTAAAGCAGTTAAATTTGTACCATTTTGGGAGTTTTTGTCTCTAATGGAGAGTGCTTTTTGATCTATGCTGGGAATAAACAACATGTTCTTGAATGAGTGTACAAGTGAACATTTTCAGGTATAAGCTAACCTACTTCAGTGCATTTTGATTAATCTTTCTTTTAAAAGATAATAACATTCCGTATTATATCTGAAGGGGGGTTAAAGAATGGAAATCAAAACAGATTGTTCTTCTGTCTTCTAGCTACAGAATGAGTTGACTAGTCTTGTTCAAATCTGCATTACTGCACATGCTAAAGCTGTTTGGCAGAATACTTTCTTATAACCGAAAAGGGTTTTTTTAAGAAAAATCAATCATATTTGAGTAAGTGAGGGAACAAAAAATTTTTCTTATCCAATATATCTCATGGTATAGTGTTTTTTTTGTTTTGTTTTGTTTTTTTTTTTGCTCCTGATAGGTTAATGGTGTTGATTACTTGTATATGAGCCTCTCTTAATGGAAAGGAGAGTCTTTGGAGAACAATTCTGCAGCATTCCTTTTAAGCTTATACATGAATTATAATCAGACACTTCTGTAATATGGAAAAACTCTTCTTCCTTTAGGTAAGAAGTGCAAATTATGATGCAGATCCATTTGTTCAAGAGTTCCAGTTCAAAGTCCGGGATGAGATGGCCCATGTGACAGGGCGTGTGCTCCCAGCTCCAATGTTGCAGTATGGAGGACGGGTGAGAATATTTTTGTTTTGCTTTTAGTTTTTCTTTCTGTGTTTTGATTTTGAAGGAGGATTCTCACTAACTTGAATATTTTAGCCAGTGCTACTGTCTTTTGTAGTACAGAGTCAGAGTTTGAGCGGTAAGCTTTGTGTTATCCTGAAATTGTAAATAGCATAGACTTTTACTTTTTGAATCATTGAATATCAGTGTTTCCTTTATTTCCACAGAATCGAACAGTGGCAACCCCAAGCCATGGAGTATGGGACATGCGAGGGAAGCAGTTTCACACTGGTGTTGAGATCAAAATGTGGGCCATAGCTTGTTTTGCAACGCAGAGACAATGCAGAGAAGAAATACTGAAGTAAGGCATGTCATAGTTCAGGCTTTGGACTGTTCTCTTAATGAAGCCATCTTAATGAAAGCTTGAACATAGGAGTTCATAATGAACATTTTACCTGGCTTTAACCTTCTACGATGCTAAAGAGAATCCAAGCTGCTTTGCTTCCTTGCTGAACATTACAGTAAAAAACTGCTTGGACGCATTGTGGTGTTTTAGTCCTGCGATGTTGCTGCTTTCCCACTAGTTACTTCTAGCATCTTTGCGTGGAGAACTAAAGGCCTCTAAACTTGTTTATGTGTGTGTTTTTTGTTTTTTTACTTTTTTAATTCTAGTTTATGATGTTTCAAGGCTATATACCCTCCACATAATGAATGCTTTAAAAAAGTTACTTTAAAGGCTGCTTGGAACCCTGTTCCTCATTTGAGAGACTGTTCTTCTGTCCCCATCTTCTTTGAATGTTGTGTGGTACTGCTACTATAAAAGTTCAATAAACTTCTTATCCTTAGGGGTTTTACAGACCAGCTGCGGAAGATCTCCAAGGATGCAGGGATGCCAATCCAAGGCCAGCCTTGTTTCTGTAAATATGCCCAAGGTGCTGACAGTGTGGAGCCCATGTTTCGGCACCTCAAGAACACCTATTCAGGTCTTCAACTTATCATTGTAATCCTGCCAGGGAAAACGCCAGTATATGGTAAGGGAACAGCTGTGGCTGTACCTTTTCTCTCCGGTGTTGTTGTGAGGCATTTGCTGCTCAGCAAGTGTTAGAAAATTCTTCATGATCATTCTTTAGGCATTAGAAAACCACTTTTGCCAGAAGTTACAGTGAATGGGAAGTAGGTCTGAGTGGGCAGCTAAATTGAAAATTAATAAGACAGGATGTATATTTGAAATATTTTGACTTCAGCTAAGATCAAAACAAAATACAGCTATAATTTCAAATGGACTTAAATTTTATCTTAATGCTTGCTTCTCAGCGGAGGTGAAGCGTGTGGGAGATACGTTGTTGGGAATGGCCACGCAGTGTGTTCAAGTCAAAAACGTTATCAAAACATCTCCACAGACCCTGTCAAATCTGTGCCTGAAGATTAATGTTAAACTAGGAGGAATCAACAATATTCTTGTACCTCATCAACGGTAAGAATCTTTATGGAGATTGATTTAGGTTTTGTCTTAATAGATGTGGTTAAGTTTGATATGTAGCAGAGTTTAAAGCTGGCCAGGGTTTTAAGTTCAAACTATCCTTCTGAGTATGGTATATGAGACTTGAAAAGCATTAAAAGTTTTTCTGGCATGGCTCTGAGTGGCTGTGGCCTGTGAGTTAGGTCTCAAGCCAAGGGTCTTACCAAATGTTTGGTTAATATCAAAAATTTGAACAGAAGCTGCAGTTCTACAGACATTGAAAGTGTTAATGTGTATTTTCTCTGGAGGCTTAAGCATGTACAGCACAGGAGAATGCAACTTTTGGTTAATACACCAATGTGCTGTTACTGTAGTGCATACAGAAGGCATCTTATTTCTCCCACTTTAATAGGCTAGGTAACTCATCTCATGCTTGTTCTTTGCATGGCTATTCTCTGTGCTCTCATGTCTGTTCCAGTTGTTTTAGGCCTATGCTGACAAGGTTCCATCAGTTCAACCCATGTGCATGCACATTTTTCTTACATGGAAACTTCTTAAAAAGCACAGGTCTATCTGTCCTGAAGACTAGAAATTCTGTTTGTCTAACGTTTAAGAGAGCGTATCTATTCTCTGAAAGAGAAGTGTGCGTAATGCAAGGTAGCGATCCAGAGCAACTTCTAAAGTGTTAGCCTTAGAAATTCTTTCCTGAGACTTTCTGAAAGCTTGGAACCAAAGTTTAAACGTGAAACAATGGCACTTGGAAAAGTATTTTGAATGCATTGAGAGATCGTCCTGCTGTTTTTGTTCTGTAAGCCAGAATAATGTGTGGGCTACTGCACTTGGTCATTTGTGGCATGGCTAACGCAGTACCTAAGTAATGCTTAGTTGGCTTCCAGGCATTATTGTAATCAATTGTCAATGATAATTTCTGTAAGAAACTGTTGCTTTTAAGCTTTTCTCTAGTAGAATCATGCTACAGTTAAACTGCAGTGTATTTCAGAATGACTTGCACACAAATTTCATTAAGTTTGGTGAGAGTACCTGGTAAGAAGGTGTTTGAGCAATAAGCTTGCATCAAGTATTCATCTACTTTTTTGGCTTTTTGTTTTTGTTTTTTGTTGTTGTTGTTTAGACCTTCTGTGTTCCAGCAGCCAGTGATCTTTTTGGGAGCAGATGTCACACACCCTCCTGCTGGAGATGGAAAGAAGCCTTCCATAGCTGCTGTAAGTTTTATTAAGTCAGCATAATTTTTTTCATCTTAGATGAATGTTAAAATAGAAATTACATATACACACACATATATATATATATATATACACACACACACACACACACATATATATATATGCTTTGAGAACTTAGTTTATATGAACTCCTTGACTATGTCTGTGTTAAATATCTTCTAGGGCTTATGCCAGTTCTCTGTACAGATTTTCAGCTTTATTAAAAATCATGTCTTTTTAGAAGAAAAATGCTGCTTGATACTTCAGATTATTTTTCTTGGCATTTGAATTTTTAAATCAACATAGAATGGCAGTCACATTAAATAATACACTTCTGCAAAAATATTCTAAAGGAAATAATGCATCTTCATAATTTTAATAACACTTTTATATTTTTTTTTAAAGGAAGAAAATGTAGTTAAAAGCTGGATTTGGCAGGAATGTTTTGGCTCCTTTTCTGGAGTTTTTTTTTGTTATTTTAACATTTTTGTGTAGATTTGATCTTGTAGCCTTTAGTCATATAATATTCCCCTGAAGGTCGTAGGTAGTATGGATGCTCATCCAAGCCGGTACTGTGCCACAGTGAGAGTTCAGCGACCCCGGCAGGAAATCATCCAAGATCTTGCCTCCATGGTGAGAGAGCTTCTCATCCAGTTCTATAAGTCAACACGGTTCAAGCCCACGCGTATCATCTTCTATAGGGATGGAGTCTCTGAAGGACAGTTTCGACAGGTTGGTTCTTTTTTTGTTTTTGGGGGGGTTTTTTTTAGTTTTTTTTCACCCCCTTAAACATTGTATGTAACATAATAATTCCATTTCTCATGTTTGAATAAGCTGTACTGCTTGAGTTGCTTATATTAATGCCAAGCTGTCACAAAACAGTTGTGACGCTTTTAGGAGGGAATCTCTCAAGCATGTTGGGTGAAGAAAGGTTATAATAATCTCTTTCCTCTCTGGAAAGAAGAGCTCTTAAAACTTTGGAAACAGTACATTTCTCAAGATTTCCTAAGATTGCTAATCGTGTAGCAGAGCTGAATGTAGTATTAACTGCAAACAATTTATTAAGCATTGCAGGTAGAATATAATGGGAGGAAAAGCTAAACTATTCTGTCCTTGTGCTTGTAGGTTTTGTATTATGAACTGCTAGCCATTAGAGAAGCTTGCATCAGTTTGGAGAAAGATTACCAGCCTGGAATAACCTATATTGTGGTGCAGAAGCGACATCATACACGATTGTTTTGTGCTGACAGAACAGAAAGGGTAATCATTATCTCATAGTAGCCTTATGTGGAAAGCTCAATGTCAAGCACTTATGTTGCTGAAGAACATAAAAGCATGGATTTCTTTGTCAGTCTATTTTGTTTGTTTGTTTTTGCATTTAGAGGAAATGTTGAACTGATAGGCATAAAATATGGCCCCAATTAGAAAAATCTTTGACTGTAAATAGATTTATTTTCTTTTTTTTTTTTTTTTTTTTAAATCCCCATCTGGTTTTGTCATGTTGTGCTCTGAATGCTAGTCTTTATCAGTGAACTATAATTAATACACTGTCTAGGAACAAGTCTACAGTAATCTTAACAGAAGAAAATACAATATGATGGAATCCTTAATGTTTCTGTTCTTAGGTTAACGCAAACGTGAGCGTGCAATTCTAAATCCAATTTACGTGCAGCTCTTCTGACTCCCTAAGAGTAGAAGTTCTGAAGTGCTGTGGATGCCATATTCTGTGTTGGGATGGTAGAGAGCCATACAGCGTTCATGTCCAACATCGTAGACTGCTGTGTTGACACATTCCAAACAGTACTGAGGCAATTCTGTTACTGTTGCATCTATTAAATAGAAAGTTGTGGTTTTAGTTACAGTTGAGATGTATAAATAGTGGCTAGTTGACACTCTTTTCAACAAAACCCTCTGTAGGTTGGTCGAAGTGGCAACATTCCAGCTGGAACAACTGTAGATACAGACATTACACATCCATATGAGTTTGACTTTTACCTCTGCAGCCATGCTGGAATACAGGTATGATTGTTTCTTTACAAGTAAATGTTAATTTAAAACATGTTGTTTTTTGCCTTTTTTGAAGCATGTGCTTACAGTTACTTAGTAGGGAAATGTCATTTTATTGTGTTTTATCTGAGACACCAAATTATTTGGGGACCAATAGTATTAATTATTTACTTAAGAGGTGGTCTCTGCTACACTTCTAGAAGATGCTTTGATGGCAAGTCAAGTTTTTTGTGAAATTTACTTTGAAGAGGTCATTTTATTTTGGAGCTTTGTTATTTCTGAAAATAAATTTACTGCTTTTTTGATGTATAGCTATAATGAAATGAACATTGAATCAAGTTTTCAAATGTAAGCAATTTGAAAGACTGAAGGCTATGTTGATTATTAACTGACTAAATGCAGACCAGTGATTTACAGGTGTAGAAATTAAATCCAGCAATGCAGTGGTATTGCCAACAATACAATGGAGAGCCATTCTAATGACAAAGGTTGTATCGGGATATTGCTTAAAAATGGGGGGGAAAAAAATCATTCTTCAAATTTTTATCATGTGAGTCTGTGACCACATTGTCATTAGTTCTGCTGAGGCTGGGTGGGTGTATTTTTCTTTTCGTGTTCTGATTCATTACAAAGTTTTTATTCAGAAGTTGAAAACTTCTGATACTTTTCTCCATTCATGTGTATCTTCGTGGTAGCAAACTCAGTTTTGGCACCTGAGAGGAAAAAAAAAGTCAATAAAAGTTGAAGCAGCAGCGCCAGCTTTATTTGCCACTCGTTGTTATTAATACAGTGAGCCACAAATAAATGTCAACTGAACTGAGATTTTTTTATATTTATGTATAGAAATATAAAAGAGAGACTTCTAGCCTGGCAGAAAGATAACTATTGACCTAATTTACTTGCACTGCTATAAAGCTTAACTCTAGTATGTCACCCTCTTGTTGGGGAAGGGGTAAGGGATGGGGAAAGAGGAGTGTTTGCTTACTCCAAAACCAGTGACTTTCAAAGTAATTGCAAGTCAGTTGTGTAATGCAGAGCTTCTAAGAGTTCTGAAGACCTACACTCAGTGTTCGGTATTTGTTAATGGTCTGGAAGGAAATGTTAAGTGCTGGGGAAAGTGAGCGCGTGGGGGAGACCCTGACACATTGGTAGCGTGTAATAATCTGATCCAGCGTAATGCAATTATAACTCTTGAACCTGTAAGCAAGATGATGATGTGTTGAAGCAAGAACACCTAATTTTTGTGCAGTGTACTCTAGGTAACTTCTGGAACACTGGAACCGTTTCTGGTATGCATGCTTTTAAGTTGGGATATTAATATTAACTGGAAAGAGTTAAAAGCAGCCTGGTTATTTCTCTGGGAAACATATCTAAATGAGAAACGATTTTAATTCAGGGCAGTTAAGAGATGGCGTAATGACAGTTTACACATACTAGGAGCAGACTTTGATCATAGAGGGTTATCTGGAAGCTCAAGTTTAGGCAAATTTAGACTAAAAGGCCTTTTTTTTAAGTGAGGATAATTGGAGTAACAATGGATGTGAATGGTAGATTTGTTATTCATCTTTAAATATAACCCTGACATAAGATTGAAATCTTTTGGCTACCATTTCATAGGAATACAGACTAGGTAGTCCAGCCTTTCTGAATCTCGAGACTTGATTGTGTAAAAAAGCAGAATAAGTGAATCAATGTTCCCTTCTTCTTAGGGTACCAGCCGTCCCTCACACTATCATGTTTTGTGGGATGATAACTGTTTTACTGCAGATGAACTTCAGCTGCTGACTTACCAGCTCTGCCACACATACGTGCGCTGTACACGTTCAGTTTCTATACCTGCACCAGCGTATTATGCTCACCTGGTAGCGTTCAGAGCACGATACCATCTTGTGGACAAAGAACATGACAGGTAAATGAAAATACAGGTGCTTAGGTTTTTGTCCCTGTTAGTGTCTGCTCCCTTACCAGGCACAGAGCCATCTTATTATAGGTAATTACTGCTCATTTTGCAGTTAATCTCTCTCTTTTTTTTTTTTTAATCTCAGAGACAGGACTTCAAATACTTTTTCCTGACTGCTGCTGCTTGTACTAGATCAGAATGGGTTGGGGGATTCTATTGACTAAAACTCGGATCAAAAGAATTAAGTTTAGCTTAATGAAGTATTCTGTGTTATTGCTTTGACATGGTCTGAAGGATCAAGTCATGCATTGGGTTTCTGGTTTTAGAGTTAAGAGCAGTCATGAATGAAGCAAACGTTAATAGTGCCTTGAACTTATCTAGCTCCACTTTGTCAGAAGTATTTCAAAACTTTAAGGCCATCAAAATATTTGTAATAGGATTATTTATAGATGAACAAACTGAGCAACTAAGGTAAAAGGATTTGTCAAAAGTCTTGTTGCTTAGGTGAACAGAGCAGCAGATTTCTCTTGGTATGCCGCTCTATTAGTATTGCCGTGTTAGCCTTCTGCATGTTGAACTGATGTGAAGATATCTCCTAGTCTCAATTACTGTAATTTACAGCACTGCTTTTCTCAATTTTTCTCATTTTCTTGCAGTGCTGAAGGAAGCCATGTTTCAGGACAAAGCAATGGGAGAGATCCGCAGGCCCTGGCGAAGGCTGTACAAATTCACCAAGACACCTTACGCACGATGTACTTCGCTTAAATCAATAAAATGGGAGCATACTCACTGAAAGGAAGAACTGAAAAATTAAGCCACATACAATGTATGTCTCCAGTGGGGTTGGTTTATGGGGTGCGCCTCCGATCATGCTGAAGTTGACGCTGTGCAGGGGCGAGAGGCTAACCCTTAAATTGACACAAGGAAGATTGTTTACTTCATCGAGGAACACAGCACTATTATGCAATATGAAACCAGCCAACTGCTTTTTTGGCGCGGTCTCCTGTAGGAAGCACCGCCATCTTTTTTTTTTTTTTTTCCTCGTAGTTTAACCCTCTTATGCCTTTACCTCAAGTTGCTCGGCAGCACAACTATCTTTGCAAAAAAATAAAAATAGAAAAAGATTGATGGTGTAATTTAAAAACAAAAAAAAAAAGAAAGCAAGCAACCTTTATAGGAACAATCACGATGATTGTTTCAGGGAGGGAAGTGTGCAAAAACCCCCTTTTACTTTTACCCCACTGCATTGAGAAAGCTTTCTCTCAATATTGCCATCAGCATTCGAATGTGAACGTATCCAAGTACATTTGAATGTACAGCACTAACTAGAAAAAGTGAGGGGAGGGGAAGACATTTTGCACACTAGTCCAATAATTTGAACATAGTTTAGCCAACTGCTGCCTTTGTCTTTCTTCACAGCTTTGGAGTCCTTACCTCCAATAGTTCCCTTTTAAAAAGCAAACAAAGAAGCTAGTGGTATTATGTGCAGGCAGTAGTGATCCAAACTCTTCTTGCTCCCTGGTGAATTTACTGAAGCTGCTGTTTTACCTAGTCCAAAAGTTTCAATTATTTTCTATCTGGCAAGTCAAATATTTTGGAGCTTCATGTGAGATCAGATGTCCCAAGTTTTATGGGATTACATACAGTAAACACCAGAACTGAAACTTTAGAGCTAAGGTCTTTTTGGAAAAAGAAAAATGCTAGTTTACTTGCTGCCTCTCACACCTTAATGTGATTTCATATGTATGTGTTTTTGAAGTTTAGCTTCCTTTTTGTTTCTTTTATATTTATTAGAGTAATAATAATGCTTTAATTTAATTATTACAGAACATATGGTCAACATCAACTTTTATTTTTTAGAAATGTAACCATGTTTATTTTTTAAAAACTGACAACTTGTTTTTGCTATCTTTTAGTGCAATAAGCGTTCTAAAGGAAAACTGTGTCCATTGAGCTGTACTAAAGCAGTGTTTGTACCACTAACCGTGGGAGAATGGACACCTCCATGATTTTAAAAGGACAAAGTAAAAGCCTTAATTTTGAAAGGAAAGTTTTATAGTCAGAAGGAATCTTGAATTTTCCTTTTTTAAATCAAAAAATAGCAAAAATGCTTCTAGAATTCTGCAAGCTTTATTGTTGTTACTGCAGTGTTTTGATTTAACAAAGGAATTGGCCATATTTTTGGCTTTGAGATGTGGTGGATATTTGAATTAAATGGAAAGGGGTTTTTTATTAAAATCTAAGTTTTTACATGCTTAGTTAAATCTATTTGACATCAATAAAGTGTCTGGAATTACTAAAATTTTTAGCTTTTTTCCTCTTTGATATGACTTTCCTTTTAAAATTAAGTTATTGGTAACTTCATTTCACTTTGCAAATAAAATAACAGAGGGCTGGGATAGTTGTAACATGTTAAATCACTGAAATGTGAAACAAATTAATGGGACTTTTTCATTCCACTTTAAAGGTAAAACAATATTTAAGATGTCAGAGATGAGCATTTATTCAGTGAGGGGATTGGGGAGTTTTGCACTTTGTAAACTCGTGAACTGCATTTTTGACTGTTTTTATTTGCACTGGTTCATAGTATATATACTGCAGATCATTTATATGGGCATTGCTGTTATCCCAGCCCTTCTGAACTCCACTTGCTCTCCACATGAAAACCAGCGGGTTGGTATAAGTAGCTTATCTCCTGTCATTCTCATGAAATCCGCTGTTTGCCAATATACTGTATTTTGAGCCTAAAATCTGAGCCCGTTTTGCTTCAACAGGCATGAATCTCCCCCATTTTTCTGCCAGAAAACAAAGTACTGTATTTTGTGCGTTTGTATGTTGCATTGAAATGTATGTAGTGCTGTTGACAACACTGTCTCAAAGAGCTTTACTAAACAGTTAGTGTATATACGTATTTTATGTCCCAATATCAAGGAAGATACCATAAAAAGATTAATTTTGCAAAGTTAAAATTGCACTGGAAATAGTCATGAAGGTGGGCAGTTTGCTAGTGGCTTGGGGGGTCCTTAGAGAATAGGTGGGAGGGTGGTCAAGAGAGACTTTCAGCAGATCCTGATGTGTCTGAAAAACTCCTCGGGGTCCCGGGAGATGCATATGTTCATCAGGTAGCTGCAGATCCCGGGTTGTCCCAGCTGCATTCTTTGACTTCTTAATGCACTTACCTTTCAGCGCCTTCAAATAAAACTGCTGCAGGAGGTTGGTGTAACTAAATAATTTGAGCAAGAGGATTTCCAAATAAATCTCTCAAATGTTTTTCTTAGTCTGAGACCTGACAGTCTTCTCTCAGAAGCACTCTAGCTAGTATTGTGTTTATAAAATGTTCAGGTTAGGCTTTTTACAGAAAATTAATGTTTTAAAATAGGGAATTTTTTTAAGGAAACTATTTTACAAAAACTTCTTGTGGATTTCTGGCATTTAGGTGAAAATTCCTTTTTATTAAAGTCTTTTGACTCTCCTCTCAAAGACACTGTACACTGCTCATCCTGCCCGCACTCAGTGACTATGATTTGAGAAGCTTTTTTGCTTGCTACTTTCACCAAAAAATAAAAAAAAGATCATTGGGAAAATGACTTAAATGCTAGCTCAACAAGTAATTTTACCTGGTTTTCATGTGAAGAGTATTTGGAAGTTTTAATCTCTATTCTTGGTTTTGCAAATATCTACGTAAAGTGCCGATACTTATTTGTATTACGATATCAAGTTACTGGCGTTGTGAGGGCCACACATTTATGATGCTGTAGCTGCTATATTTATTTAAATGGAGATGGACAATTACTGCACTAAGGAATGAGGAGATAAGCAAGGAATCAAGGTTAGTTAGGAATCTTGTTTTTTCAAAAGAAAATTAATGGTGTGAAATATCAAGTGTAACAAAGGGTGCTGTCATTTTAACTGAGATTAAATAGCCAGATATTCTTCCTTTGTTTAAAAACATATATATTTTGATGTTTGCAGTTTGGGGGTGGGGGGGGTCGGGATAAATGGTACCTCATCTGTGGTGGCAGTTTCCAGTATATTTTCAGAGTATATGGATTTCTTTTATTTTTGTACCTGCTCTCCTTAAAAAAAAAAAAAAAAAAACTCAAATTTTATGTGCTGTCTGGGGAAGTCTTGAGTGGCATACCAGATCCTCCTCTCATTCTGGGAGCTGTCTGTATATAGTCCAAAGAGGGACGTGGGCAAAGGCTGACAGTTCTGCTTGCTTTGCAGAGATATTGGCCTCGTTCATATGCCTATCCAGAAAAATGATTCCTATCTCCTAAGACACTGTACCAGTTTACTACACCAAGACTTCATGTGTACTTGCAAGTGCCACTGATTGCTTCCATGGCGGGAGCACGCACAAGGGGCCCGGAGCCAGTTTGGGGGAAGAGCACCTTTAGGGTATCTACCACCCAAAGCTGTAGTTGCAGTACTGGTACGGTGCCAAAAGTAGGAGCCACTCTCTGGGACTGGAGGCAATGCTTCTGGTAACCTAGCAGAAGGCCTTGCCTAGACTGTGATCCTAGCGACTAGTAGATCCAAATTTGGAGAGAAATAGAACTTGAGGAGTTAAACTTGCAACATCTACTACCAGAAAGACTGATGACTCCACTGTAAGTAGCTTTTTTTGTAGGGAACTTCAGCTGTGGCCATTTTACTCAGGATTGCTGTATTACTGTTAAATGTGTAATCTGGTGAAATGTGTCCAAAAGTTATTTCTATAGGGTTCGTTCTGGCATCCTTTTGGAAGTCTGTTTTGGCCATAGAAATGATTTTCAGAAGTAAAATGGATTTCTGAAAGTTTGTCAACCAAATTATTTCAGGAGGCCATTGGTCCTAAACTAATTTCGTTTTTCTTTGAAGTACAAATACGTCCTATGAAATGCTTAACATAAGATACCAGAAAATCATCTTCTGTACAAATTCCTGCTACTACTACTGGTTTTTTACTAGTCTTAAAGTTCACTCTGGCAATTTCCAAGTTCAGACTACACTTACAAAAACTTGAGGCCTTTTTTTTTTTTTAACACTTTATTCATATCTTGTCCTCTTTTGATATTTTCCCAGTTTTGTGAACTGAGGGTTTAGAATATTACTCAAAGCACTTTTTATAACCAAGGAATCAAAAGCTCAGATTATGTACCTTGAAACCATACATTCAGTTTTCAGAGATCATTATTTCCAAATGGCCATCTTAGTCTCCATCATGCCAGGCAGATGTTCTGTTGGTCTCAGTGCTGTGGAGTTTTATGGCTGCCACTAGCAGGTTTGAACACAGGCGAAAAAAAAAAAAAAAAAAAACATAGGGATGTCAAAGGGAAAGATTCCTGGCTTACTTTTCTACCCAAAGATGGTACTTTAGATTGATATTGGGTAGTGATACCATTTTTGTTTTGACATGTGTTTAAATAAAACTTTAGCCAATTCACCTTTTTTTTTTGTAAGCCTGAAAAATAGTGGTTAGAGCTTGAGCTAACTGATGCTTTCTGCTAGTAGATTTTGTACTTTACAGTAATTGAGGTATGAAACAGACATATACAGGATCCTAAATTTTACCTCCTTAGCAGAGTCCCAAGAATCTTAATCTCTATAACACTACACAAAAAAAAAAAAAGTCCCTCAGTAGGCAAAGGTGCATATGGAGGGGAAGGAATTGTTGGGGAAGAAGCTTGCAAAGAAAATATTGAAGCATTAGTTTTGCAGAAACAAGGGTGTTGATGGAGAGATTCTATCTGCTTTCCATCCTATGTGCCCTGGCCTTTACAAATTTTGTCTGAAGTACTACCCCCTAACACGGGTAGTTAATGTAGGATCCTTTTAAAACAAAGCAGTTCCACTGTTTAAAACTTGGAGTGATTTTTCTTATTTTTATTTTTTATTTTTTTTAAGCAAGACAGTCTTCAGAAAGTGCCTTTTTAGAAGATGGTGCTGTAGATTTTTATTTTCCATTTGTACGTGGCTGAAAATTTAAGATAAATTATTGAAAATGCCAAGTGTTTGATGGTATCTTTCAGGTACTCTCAAGCATCAGTTTCTCTGAGTCAGGACCAAGATTAACCAGGAAGGTGTTTTCATCGGAGGGAAAGGCATTGAGGAACGAACGATCACCAAATTCAGCTAGGTAGGCTAGAATCGGTTTTGGTTTAGTCGGTGCAATTTACCTGTTCATATTGAGGGGATTGGGAGCAGGCTATAGGAAAAGTAAGCGCACAGGACTCTCTGGACAGTGTAATTAATGGTGAAACGAAATCCATGGTTATCGAAGGACGTTGTCTCTTGGAGATGTAGCAAGCTCCCAAAGGTGAAGTAGACAAAATGAGAACTATCTGAAGACTCTGAGAGATGATCAGTCCTACTGTGAGCAGATGTCACATGGCTTGCATTTGTAAAGGAGTAATGTGCACATGTTGATGGGACTTCTGATTCTTAGCTGGGAGCTGTGACGCTCTGCAGGGTAACGGCTTGTTGGGGTGGGAGATGTTGCCCTCTTTAGGCGGTCAAAGGTGTTATGGGTCCATAGCGAGTTTGGTGAGCATTCTTCCAGTCAGGAAAAGCTGTAGACTAGACTATTAAACACTGCACCTCAGTAACCTTGTAATGCTGCATAAAGTAATAATAATAGCAAAGTTCTGCTTTGATTACACTGTAATGTGCTTGCACATGCCTGCAAAAAATACACACTTAACTTTCATTTTTGTAATAGTCTTAATAGCAGTTATCAGACTTTTTTTTTTCTTCCAAGATGAGCCTTGTCTTTTAATGTGGTGTTTCTGTATATTTATTGTTAATCTGTGTGCAGCTCATAGGTCTGTGTCTGGTCTGTATGTTGCTTTTAACACTTATTTAGATGGGAGAAGTTTCTGAATGTCTTGATTTTCTTCACTGAAGTCAGCTTAGCTCATCATTTTGGAGAGGAACCTGAATAAAAACTTGATTGACAGTCTAATTGGTACCTTGTTTCTTTAAGTTTAGAACTGAGATGAGTTTGTGTTCCTTTTATTACTGTTCAAACAGTACTGGGCATTTAAGACATACAGTAACTTGACGTCAGTCAGGATATTTTTGGGTATCAGGAATTAAAGCATAAAACTCCCACTTTAATTGCAAATGGCATTGTTGCAAGAATGTGTTCATGTCCAGTAAGCAGAGTGGAGTAAGCAGAGCTTATCAACATTTCTTGATTTGGACATGATCAATCAAATATCTAGAGTGTAGAATTCCAAAGTGGCGACAGTGACCCTTGCACTTGCTGGCCTCTTTATTTAAAGGGACACTGTTAAATTAATTCATAATATAGCACTCCTGCTTGTGTTACCAACAGAAATTGTGAAACAAAAATCTAACGTTTTGCTGCATAGACTTTTCTGTTTCAAGCTGGAGAAATGAACTGAACTTTATTGCAATTTGTCACCAGCTTGCTTGTTCTAGTACAGTGCCCAATTCATTGGTATTTAAGCTTACCATGACTTTAAATTATTGTATATTCCCACTTTCTTAATGTTATTAGCCTAGGATTTAGAAAGCATTTTTTCAGTCTGAATTCTGAGCCAAAACTATCTGTCTTCTATCCCTTTTAGTAGCTGGAGAGCTATCTTTTGGACTGAAAAGGGCCAAAAATCTTCTTCTATCAGCCTGTTTGCGGAAATGCTCTCCATCTCTCCATCTCTTCCCTTGCCTATGAACCAGGTGTGTTTTTTCCATATACATTTAGCAAATAGCGAAGCTATTGAGGCTTGTTGCCTCTTCTTTCCATACATTGCAAATGTAGTCAAAAATAAATGACACGGACTTGGCGTCTGATCATGCTAGTTTCTTGGGCACAAATCTCTTCTTAGGAAGTCTTACCTTGGTGAAGACTTAACTGTAGAACATATGCGTTTAATTACAGTAGGAATGATCTGTGTATTTCTGTTGCATTCATTTGATGGTGCCTGATATTTTGAAATATCTAATTCAAATACAATCTAATAAATCACTGAGAATGCAGGCACCCTCATATAATTCATCTTTAAAAAAAAAAAAAAAAATCTAGTGTATATGGCTAGTTCATCCTTCTTCCTGGCAAAGGTTTGAGACTGAGGATTTTCTGTAATTGATACTATTTATAGCAAATTGTGCTGGGATTAATCCTAAAGCCAAACTGACTCAGCTATGCTTTAACAGTCTGTCACTGCCCTGATGTTTGTTTTATAAAGAGAAGAAATGGTAGGGGTGACTGTCCTATCAAACCAGTAGTAGAAAGCTCTCTTAAAAATGCAAGGAGGAAACTTTTCTGCATATTGAAAAAGCTAAATATGCTTAAAACAAAAAAAACTTATGCTGCTAGAGCCTTGTGAACCTGTATCTTTGCATCCATAGTTTACCCAAAAGGCTCAACGTGTGGCTACTTCAGAAACTAATATAGGAGGAGGAAAGCTTTTTTCCTTTTTGATTTTTTTTTCTTCTTTAAAAAAAGTAAGAGTGCCTGTTCCCCTCCATAAAAGGAACATGCTGAGAAGCAGGCATCAGTGCCTATAATAATTGTATAGTTAAGAACAAGTAGTCTGTGTTTTGTATCTAAATCTTGAAGCTACCTTACTTGGTTCAAAGCAGATACGAATTCCAGTAGATCGGTGCTATCTGAAACAGTGGAGCCAAGGGGTGTTGTGAGCAATATCTAACCCCTCCATAAAACATAGATGCTCTGATAGATTTCTGGTTGCAGTCTTCAGACAGTTCACACTGACGTGTGCCTGGCTAACAAGAAAAACAGCAGGCAGTCGTAGAGTTAATTTTGCTGTAGCACTACAATTGCTCTGCTCTTCCTCAGCTCTTACCTACCTCCCTAATTCCCTTACACAGGATCACTCTCCCTCCAGAAATAGCCATGTTGAGAACATTTTAGCCGTGTGGAAAGTGAATCAGCTTTGTCTGGATGTGAGGGTAGTGCAATGATGTGATGAAAGTAACTGCCAGTAGAAATAGAAAGGATTCAGTTGGGTGGATGTCAGTCAAGCTGGGTTCAGCCTGAGCCCTTCAGGCAGTTTGGGAACCTCAAACGTTAACTTAGGTGTCCTGGAATGTGTGTGTCAAACTTGAACTCATTGAGAGCAAGTATGTGCCTTATTCTGATCAAGAACAGAAGCTGGAAAAACTTGCATTTGCATTCATACTATGGTTAATATTTTTGTGAGCTGTTCTTAAAGCTTGAAGTCCTTGGTCAGAATGGAGTTGTTTTTGCATTGAATTACTTAATAAATAAAAGTGAATCCTGAATTATCTGCGAATTAGAACTATCCTGAAAGGAGAAGCTTTTAAAACAAGTGGTTTCTCTAATGTTGTCATATAAACAAATCTACTGGTAGATTTGCAATTTTTAAAATAAAATTTAACCTTGATATGTTTCTCATTATCTATTGAAAATAATCAATTTTGCCTTTATTTCAATGTTGCCTGTCCAGTAATGTCTTCACTCTTTGCTGTGCTTCTGCAGCCTTTCATGCACTCCATTGATTCTTGCCGCCACCCCGCAATGGTGACTGTAAGGACATTAAGAATGTTGTCTAATGAATGTACGGGAGCAGTGTAGAGGTCTAATTAAGTGGGAACGTTGTGGTGAGGATTAAACATCACAGAGATTTCTGCAAGAACTAGTTTGCCAGCAGCTGAGGGTAGTGATGGCTGTGTAATGAATTTTATGGAGTCTTGGGTATACAGAGTTTTAGCAAAGTGGTATGAGGGGGGGGGAACACCTCCCCTTTGATATCAAGGTACTAGTAGAGGGAAGTCTTTTGTATACTGTGTACTGCGCAAAAGTAGTCACCTGTGTCATTAGATGCTAGTTTAGGTTTAAAGCTGCTATAAAAGTGGATTTTCAGAGCATAATGGAAAAGCTCTTCAAATAGCGATGTTTTATACAGTTTTGAGATATCGGTGAGTTGTCCAGCCAGGAACTCTGGTATGAACGTTGGCTCTGAGATGGGTTCCCTCTTTGACCTTGGGTAAGTGATTCTGCCTCCGTTTTTTTTTACGCCATCTAGAAAGCGTATACGATGATTCACATCACCTTATGAGAGCTAGCTATTAGATGTTCTGAGGATGAATCAGGTGGAAGTGCTAAATTCTTATTAGAAACCTGTGCACCTTCTTGCAAGTTTGCATCTTCACATATCAATACAGTACTGTCGGAAATCTGTCCATCTTTGAAATGAGCCGGTGTTCTTGGCAGACATGTCATCACAACTGAGCTGTGCCTGAGGAAGGCCACTGGGATTGGTCCCATAACATTTACCTGTTGCTTTCTTTTAAGATAATCCTTTCTTTCCATTTGGTGAGAAACAGACTGCCAGACGGCAAAGTTTATTTAAATGGAAGTTGAGAAAACCTTCATTGAGGACTGAATTGGTCCTTCAAAGACATTTGGCAATTGGAAATTTAACACATACTGTAATACTATCTAGCAACACAAAATATGACGGTGTATTGCATTTGGTGTTTTGCTAGCACATAAACCATAGATCCTCAAACCCATTTAAACAGAGATGTGCAAAAGTTAGCTATTAAAATAGTTACTAGTAAACTTTCATGATGCTTACATTTGCAAGTCTCTTAAATCCGTTCGAAAACAGTTTCTTTTGATATAAAATCCATGTCTTGCGAGTTAGTATTCACTCAGACACATTAGCAAAACAGTACCCGTTGGAGCAATGCTATATTTAAAGAACCTTTTTGAAGTTTTTAAATTTGGTGGTGTGCCAGCAGAGTAGGAACTTGAGCAGTACTCTTTAGCTGACAAGAAAAAATTAATTTTGCGAAAATTCAGTAAGTGTGAGGAAGACTGCTAGAGATGAGAAGATTTGTCTTCTGACTTCTGGCAACTCTTCAGTGAAGACTGGCTTCTTTAGGCTGTTCTGTTTGGTACATCACTTTCTTGTGGCTGTACTTAACGTTTCTTTGGACTTGATTTCTGTTCTTCAGTAGAACGTTCTCATTTCTGCAGTAAAGCTTTACAGTGTTGAACCTAGCCTTGAGACAACTTAATGTTGTTTTCATGAAGAAAAATCCTGTTTCTAGAAAGTTGCATTTTTTGTCTGTTTTGCAGACGGTAATTTTGAAAAGCTAGCCTCAGTACAGCAGCGGAGTTGGCAGAATCAGTTTTTAATCTGAGATGTTGCTCTTACAGGCTTGTCGCCCAGCCCCTACTGCCATGGTCAGTGACACTGATATGCGGATGCCTTGAGTAGCAGCTCACGTGCCTCAGGTTAGGCGATGAACTTTGGGCTCACAGGGTGCAGATTCTTTTGTCTATTACGTTCCTGTTTCTTCCCTTGGTGTACGTAGTTAAACTTCCTATTGGTGGATAAACAGCCTTGTTGCTTATTATGGGGGGAAAGAACTCAACTCTTTAAATGGCCTGGAGGCGTTAGATTGGAGATAGGAACATTGTCTATCAACAGGTATTACTCTAAAGCCTTCACTGTAATTGGTAGCATTCAGTTATGAGCCAGAGTGGGTATTAAAATATCTTCAGCAGAAGGTGGCTCAGGTGGCAGTGTGTGCCATAAGCATTGCTAGTGATCACTATGTATTTGTTTAGGAGACTGCTGGAAGCAATGTTGTGCATATAGATTTTGCATATTTAATACCATATGTTTAAATAAAAAATAATAATTGTACTGTTTGGGATTCCTTTTCGGAATAAAATTTTAATAAACCAGTCAAGTGGGTTGAGATTCCCTTCTGTGTGTACGTCTTGCTCTTTCTCATTTGGTGGTAACTGCTCCCTTCTTGTTTTGCTGTTACCATTGCTTAAGAAGGAAGTAAAAGGTGTTCCAACCATGAAGATAACTGGGGAGAGGGGGGTTCAAAGTAAAAGGGAATTGTTTCAAGAAGAAAGTAGAGCTGTGACTTGAGACATTGCACAAATAGATTGTAGACAGATGGCAAACAAACTGCTAAAAAGCCTTTATTTTTACTTAACCATCTTGACCATGTGTGCCTATTTGTATTGCGGATGTGGGCTGCAACCATTCGGGATGTGAGGGAAATCATGTGTCAGTGTGTTTTAAGATGTAATTGCTAAGCAGAAGCAATGTCCTCTGCCCGTTTTCCCTTTCAGGACAAATTGTTCCTGCCAGAATTTTCTACCTGTTGCAACAGTTGCTTTCTTTCCAGCACAGTAAAATGTCACCTTCTTTCACTGCCCCTTCCCTCTGGCAGTCACCTATAATCTCTGTACAACTGTGTATAGTACACACAACAGTCATTGGATCTCTGTTGGCTTTAGATACCATCAAGCGGGGTATGTTGTACACCAACCGTATTAATTTGAAAAATAAATTTGTTTCGAATGCATATGTGATATTTTAATTTTTTTATACTTGCATTGTTTGAATTTCTTTCCAAAGCAAAGTCTGCAAGAATGGATGGAGATTGAAGTGCTGATCTGAATCGCTAATGTCAGGAACTGGGATAATATCTCGAGGGAGATACCAAACACGGCTGCCAAACCTTTGTCAGAAAATGTGATTTTACTTTCCAAGTTTCTTATTTGATTGGAGTTAACGCCATTTAATTAAAAAATAGGAGGATTTAAGTGCTCTGATTGGCAATTTTCATCCTTATCCACAAAACTAAAAATGTTGGGGGGATATGATGGTATTTCGGAGTTACTGGCATTGTTTATGCATGTGTTGAATACTCAGTTATGTCTGCGGTGTCAGCTGAACTTCATGGCTCAGAATGAACACAGGCAAATAAGGGGTTAAATGGGTTTTGAGGCTATAAATGCTTGTGTGCGGATTATCAGCGGTGAATGTGGTGCCTTTGGTTAAATCATTGTCTCCACAAAAACACCTTGTCTGTGGTTGAGATTTAAAAAGTTCGTTTCTGTTTGACACACCGTTGCTCACAGTACTGACATGGTGAAATTCAGTCATGGACCTCTCTGAGCCAAAACTGTCACCGAAGCTTTCCGTGACAGCCTCCACTCCTCTCTTTCTGCCGTTCTCTATACTGGAAGGACTCTGTGTTGTTTTGTTTTTACCTTTTTTTTAAAAAACAAAAATATTGGTTTTAGTGTTGCTTTGCTTCAGTTTGAAGTGTAACTTTCACTAATAACTGCAATAAAAAAAAAAAAAAAGCTTTGCTCCAAACCTGCTCCCTGTGTTAACTCGCTTTATTTAAGGTATGTTAGAAAAATAATATATAAGTAACAGGCTGTTTGCTTGTGAGATACTGGGTTTTAGATGGCCACCGT